ATACTGGAAAATTTAATTGTTGGGCTGAAAATAAACTCCTGTTGCCTTTTTGTTTTTGAGATGTCTGACACTTAGCAGTGTGTAGCTTGTCCTGTGTGATATATATGCAGTCATCTGAAGTTGTTGTGGTATCCTTCAGGGTTTTCATAAATTCTTGGTGATTAATTTCCCTTGGAATAGAGGGTTTGCATCTTTCGTCACCTTAAGGATCCAGTAGTGTACCTTTGTGGCAAAAAAAGACTAATAGCTGCATTAAGCTTGGCTGCATTAAGAGGAACACATTTGAGCCGGGGGTTTGGAAAAGAAAATCTCCAGAGGTCCTTTCCAGTTGCAACTACTGTATGATTCTTTGCATCTATGAATTGAATACGCTGAAATGTCTGTCCCACACTTGGCTTTATATGGAGCATTTAACAAGTCACAACATAATTGCTATAAGCTATTTTTTCATAAGAGGGTAGTCAAACATGAAAGCTGCGTTTTATCTTGGAGAAAAGCTTCAAATAACTACTAAGACAGTAAAGATGTAACCAGTACAAAATAACTTCCTGTCTTTGAACATAAGGCAGTATTTGGATAATCAGTATTCTGACAATTGCAGTCCTGGCATTTCACAGCCTATTTTATACTCTGAACTTCTGTGAACAAATCCATGGTGAAGCAATCTACCCATATTTTTGTAGACTTTTATTGATGCTACATTATTGAATCCTTTAAATGTAATCAACCCTATCATAAGTACTTTCATTGGTAAAATAGTTCAAATTGGATAATTAAAATAATCGATCAATCTGGAGAAATTAGTTACACTTTTTAAACGAGGTATTACTTTTGACCAGAGATCATTGTCTTTTGTAAGATGTCTCTCAACGTTTTGAGAAGTTATTTACCTCTGCCTTTTGACTTGTAACATGGAGATAATTTAGACTGAAATATTTTTTTTCTTCTGAGAAAAACTTAAAATTATATTTTTAAAGATGGATGTTGGAGAAATACCAAATTTGCCATCAGACATTTAATCTTCATAGCACTCAATTTATATATTCCAAGATGAATTATTTGAGTACAAATACCATATGATCATTCAGTGTGCTATCTGGATGGGTAAGAGACCATAAATAATGACTACTCAAACAGTGTGTTTTCAGATCCTTGAGAACTTGATGTCTGACATACCTTTCCCTATATGATAAGAGAACATAGCTGATATGGATAAGCAGAGGAAAACTGCGCCAAGGCTAAACTTTTAGCTGTATAACCTACAGAACACTTTTGGAGCTCCATGGCATACAGGTTGCCTGCTACTGAATTACTGGAAATAGCCCATACCTGAGGATGAAGTAACAGATTGATCAACTTGATTCTAGAGTCCAAAGGCAAAGGAAAACATTCTTTAACGTTGTAAGAAGTCCACAGGAAAAACTATGCTTTTCTCACTCTCTTCTTCCTTCTCTGTTTTCTCCTAATTTGGGTCCTGCATGATCAGGAAGACTGTATTCTACTAGAATCTGGTATATTCTTAATATGTCATTGTTATCAGCTGTATTTTCCTAACTTCTGATACTCCTATATCCAGCATTCCTACTACTTGATCCATACAGTACTGCTTTATCATTACAAGTTAAATCTTCTGTAACTGCACATTTGAAAACTTCTAGATAGCCCTTTCTTCTCAATAGAAAAGTGTTTATATTCTGAAGTATTTTAACTAAGAATAATATTGCAAATCATAACTTCTTTTTGTCCTACATGAATTTGAAGCATTTTTTTAGTGTTGCTGTGAATATATACTGGTTGAAAATTTGTCAAAGGCAGAAGCAAACTTTCAGTAATTTGCGATGGAAAGCTCTTGTCTTTGTTTTCATAAAAACTGAATGTTTTAGTGAATGGTGACTTAGTTATTTGCTCCAGGACCTGTTCATGAACTCAGTATCTAATTTTCTTTTTATCTAGGAACGTACATACGATGCCTTTGTACTCAATTCCAGAACCATGATAGACAAGCATTAATCCATCTTTTGTTAAGACAAACAGAATTCATTTCTAAACAAAATTCTGTAAATACTACAAGGATTGATAGATCTGTTGCTGTAGAATTGGCCTGGAAAAGGAAAAGGGATTACTTAATCATAACTAATCTTTTGGGTTTATGTTTTAATCTGCCTGGGTTGTTGTCCAGCTACTTTTGGTACAAACATAATTTTGGTACTATAAGGACATGATGTACACATTACACAGCATGGTACATCTGTTCCTGCTGAAGATTATTTATGAAGAATTTATTTTCATGTAGCATGTCTGTAAATTGTATTAGAAGTTAAATTTTCTTGGTTTAGTTAAAGTTGATTTATACTGTAATTAAAAGAGAAATGGCTTGGATTAACAAGTTTTTTATTTTCAATAAATATATACAACTATAAGTATAAAGCTCACAGACTTCAATATTCTTACTTTAAATTGCTAAAAGTAATTGTAAAAAATATACACAGCTACCAATTTAAAATTTATAATTTACAATCCTAAGTTGCAGTCTCTATGTTTTTAAGAAGTTACTATACTTAGCTGAACACAGAAATGCATTATTGAGTTTTGAATATTTGTTAAATGTCACTGATTTATTAATGTGCTTAACTCTTATTTTTATGTTTGGTATGATATAATGACTGTAGAAATTATTTTCTTTTTTTTATATATGTGTTGCATTTTCAAATATTTGGTTGTACATCTTCTAAAAGAAAACATAATATTCTTTGGAATTTTGTGATCAAGTTCAACAGTAAGTTTGAAGATATGCTGCTTTTTATTACCAGCAACAAATCACTGTTCACTTCTAGTCACCTGCAAAATTAGAATACCTCCCCTCACAAGTCAAACACGACTTGTCAGATCACACAAAGCACCAGCTTTTGTAGCAGTTCACATTAAAAGTTGCTGCTTTCCCTGGAAGTCGTGAGACATAAGCTGCTTTCAACTGAAAACTATAGAACTTAATTTAGAAAATAATTTTTTTATCAAAAACGAGTTTGGAATTTTACTTCATGTAGCAATAGATTTGGAGCAAAAGAGTCCTTTACAGAAATTTATTTTCCTACGTACAATTAGGCTATTTTATAAGGTTTATGTTACTAGTTTATAATCACTCTGTAGAGCTTAAAATTTTTCATTAATGAGCTTTAACATTGTAGAGGATAACTGTACCATGCTCAATATCTACAATGCCAGTTTTTATCCAAGTGGAATAGCTCATAGACTTGCTCCCAAATTTTATGAGGTAATGTTTTATAATTAAAATTAATAATATATGGATTTGTATGTCATCTTCTAAAAGAAAGAAAAATACAGAGTATTTCAGTTATTGTGAAACAAGCATGGGAATAATTTCACGCACTGATGAAATTCAGCTTGTTCTAAGGTGAATAATGACAGTTTAATGGTGCCTGGCTGTGCTAACAGTAAGAAACAGACATCATCTATTTAAAATGGTGAGAGAGCTATTTAGGGTAAATGTGACAGAGGTAGAATTATTCTAAAACAGGGATTTACTCTCTGATAAATTCCATATATCCCATTTTGGGGGTATATGTATGCTTCTTTTTCCTTTAATACTCTCTGTTGCTCTAGGAGAGCAGGGTAGGTACTCGTAGGTAGCATTGCTTGCTTTGACTTGTATTTAAGAGGTGCCAGATGGCAACTGCTGGAAGGATGTTGTGAAGCTTAAATATCTTTTAAAGGGAAAAGTTGTTGAGTGGAATGAGTGGACAAAACTGGCAAAGAATTTAGCAGTCTTCTACCTATATAAGAAGCTTTATGGCTCACCACTGATAAAACCAATGAGGAAAATAATCTTGTCTTCCATCAGAATGTGCTTCTAAATTTAGACTATCTACAAATTAGAAGAAAAATGTCCTTTATATGACTCAAGGACAGAGCCAATGTAGAAACTTCACTCTTTTTCGTTTTCTCATTAAGATGATGCTTTAACCAGTGGAGGGATAGTATCTAAACACTGTCTGGGGGCTTTTAATATTATAGTCTACCAACTGCAAGTTATTGTAAATTGTTTTGAAGAACGGTTTAAAAAATCAGTGTGGAAAAATATGCTGGATGAAGCAGTTTTGGGAAAGTTTTACCAAAAAAAAATAAAAATAGTGTCCTTCAGAAATTAAAAATACAATCATTTTAAGTGGGTTTTTTCTGCTAACAGTTTTGTGATGGCGCTGATGGGAACAAAAGTCTGAAAGTAGTCCAAAGTGTTAGGATTACTAGTCTCCAAGGATCATATTGATCCAGTGTTTCAGAGCTCAGTTGAACACAAATGATTATGTATTTTCTAGAGAGTGTTCTGCACCTTTTTTTGTGCTGTAGAATATGACATTTACAGAGGAGGGGACCAAAGTGAATGAAATTGAGTTTTTCTTCTTTGCAGGCTGAATTTACATATGTAATGTATATTCTATGCAATAGTTGCGTAATCCTTGTCACCATTGTTTAACATCTTCATTTATGATCTGCATGACGGGGAAGAGTGCAACCTCAGCAAGTTTGCAGATGTTAGAAAACTATGGAGGAGTATTTCATACAGGGTGTTCTTGTTCAGAGGGATCTTGAGAGGCTGGAGAAATGAGCTAACAGAAACCTCATGAAGTTCAATGATTAACTGAACCAAGAGAACAGAACTGATATAGTATAACTTCCCTTTTGGAATCTTTGTTCTAATTCTATGTATTGTGATGAAAATAAGTTAATTTTTCTAACATCCTCACAAGGTTTTAAATTTTAATGTAGCTATGCATAGAAATATGGCTGGTATTTTAATAGTTTGTTTCAGTTGTAAAATTTGTATCTTCTTTGATTGCGTGATTTTTCAGCAGTTTGTTTGGTTTGGATAAATGAAATATCAAACAACTGTTGCAACAGCACTGTCACTTCTAATTACACATTCAAAGCGTTTATTTTTTTAGAAACTATAAGAGCTCTACTTACTACCTATTTAATTCTAGATTCTGTGGTCTTTGGAACTGGGCCATTGGATTTCAGAGGAACCATATGAGCTTTCATCCAGCTTTCCTGCGGCTCCTGTAAGTTTAATGGTCCTTTAAGCTTCTGAACCTTCTTTTGTTTATCTGGGAAATGACTGGCCCTCTAAACAGGTTTTGTGAAAAAGAAAGCCTACTAGAAAAAAATATTTTTTAAAGCAAATACTGTAAGGAGTTATTTTCTCCTTTGTCCACTACTTTTTGAAGTGTGTGCAAAAACTCTGGTATGCGTGGAAAATGCAAAAAATTGATCCACCAATTAACATCTGAATAAACCAGGATCTTATTGAAGTATAAATGTACTTTAATTTTATTTCTACCTGTGCTTGTATATAAAATGGAGAGGTATGCTATTGCCAAATGGAAAGATTTGCAGGTCCTGGACTCAATTTTTTTGGTCCAAAAATGAAGCATAATTTTCCTGCCTCTAATGATTATTCTCAAATACTGAATCAGGAACAAGTGCAAAAGTGTGTATATGGGGGCATTGTGTGCCTGTGCAGACCTGCAAGTTTCTGTACTTCATGTGTTCTAATCAATTAAACACTAATTTTATTTTTGTTATAAATCAAGTGTTATTTCATTCCTTCTGAAATGTTTCCTCTCACTTCACTTTGGTGTTTGCAGTTGAAGCCATGCAATCCTCTTTAGATAAAATGTCATTTAAAAACATATTCACTCTAAAATTTCACATTAGTGTTGATAAATTGCTCCATTTTCCCCCAAAATGAAAAAGTCTCATTAAACAGTTGATCTGTTCAATATCTGCATCAATATATTTGATCACTTTCCCAGAATAGTCATGAAAAAGTTTTAAGCTTTAGAAAGACTTGTTTTCAACAAATCAAAACTAGCCATGCAATATTAAATTATTTTTGTCATACAATGTTTTTTTCCAAAATAAATAAAATTAATGTCAACTGGAAGTTAGCACTATTTTCTTCTGCCAAGTTGAGCATTCATACTGTGCCAGATTCCATCATGGTTTTCAAGAAGCTTTTTGGGGGTTGGTTTGTTTGGTTTTGTTGGCTTTTTTTTTCCTTGCTATAGATTATTGGGGTGGATATGCTTAGTATCACAAATATTGGGAGCATTTTCTTTAGTTGTCTAATTAAATGCAGCAAAGCAGGAAATGCAGGAATATATACTCAGCATTTCTATTAGATTTCACAGGATCATAAAATATTTCAGATTATCAGGGACCTCTGCAGGTTACCTAGTTCAACAGTCTGCTCCAAGGGACTCGTCCAGTACATCCTCATGGTAGCGAGTGAATAAATTAAAAAGAAAATTTACATTCTCCACTTCCAACTTGTATTTGCTGCATCTTGTCTTACTGTGGCGCACCTCCGAGAAGAGTCTGGCTCTGTCTTCTCTGTGTCCTCGATCAGGCAGTTCTAGGCAGCAGTAAGGTCTCTCCTTCCCCTTCTCTCTCTAGCCTGAAAAATGCCAGCTCTCTAGGCCTCTCTTTGTGTGTTGTGTGCTTCTTGGTATGCGCAGCTCCTTTGCTACTTGCTCTCTAAGACATTTCTTAGTAATTCATGAAAGCAATTTTATGACATATTTTTTTTTTAGTTTGGGATTCATATATCCTTACAAGTTTGCTATGAAAAACAATAAAATATTAAGCAGTAATTTTAAGTACACTATTTTTGCAAGTCTTCAGACAATGACTGTTAATTTACATTCTTTAGATTTATCTAAAATCAGATCATGAAGTAATATTAGAAATATTTTTTTGTATCTGCTATACTTTAGTAATGATGACACATTTTTAGTGAAGAATGGTGGTGGTGTGAGTGGTGGGGTTCTCTGACAGCAGCTTTAATGACTGCCAGTATAAAATGGAGAGTTTTCTTCCATCTTTCTCAAAGTCATTTACTGTTTTCAAGATAGAATCATAGAATCATCAAGGTTGACAGAGACTTACAAGATCATGCAGTCCAACCATCAACCCAGCACTGCCAGTGTGACCACTAAACCACATCACCCGGTGCCAGATCCAGATGCCTCTTAAACACCTCCAGGGATGGTGACTCCACCACCTCCCTGGGCAACCTATTCCGATGCCTGGCCACCCTAACAGTGAAAGTTTTTTCCTGACATCTAATCTGAGTCTCCTCTGTCTCAGTTTAAGGCCATTTCCTCTATTCCTCTCACTGCAGGCACAGCAGAAGAGAACAACCCCTACCTGGCTAAAACCTCTGTTCAAGTAGTTGTAGAGAGTGATAAGGTCCCCCCCGAGCCTCCTCTTCTCAAGACTAAACAATCCCAGCTCCCTCAGCTGTTCCTCATAAGACATGTTTTCTAGACCTTTAATGAGCCTTGTTGCCCTTTTTGTTAACTAAGCTTGCTGAAATTTTGTGCCTGAGAATTTTGTTTTGTTTTGAGCCCTGTTCTTGCATTTTAACTAGTTCAGTCATCTGCTGAAAGTAAAGTTTTTCAAAAATAATACTTTAAGGCTAAGACTAAGCATGAGAAGTAAAAGCTAAACTTAATTTTGGGAAAAATCTCCATAAAATTATTTTGTGTGATTTATAAAGAAATATCTTCTCAATCTGAACTGTAGTGTTTAGTACACAATTTTTAAGGCATATAGTAACAAAATGAGAAGGAGGAAAAAAAAGCAAAGATCACCTAGTGAAGTAATTTATTCACATTGTGGCATACATTGAGGGCCTACCTATGGAAAATTTTTAGGGAGAATTCCTAACCTTACTGAAAAAAACAACAGTGTGACCTTTCAGATTACTTTCAGATTTTTGTTTCCTGTTTTTAAAATGTAGTAATTTATATCATAAGCATAATTTTAATTGTATCAAAGAACATGCATATGTTTTTCAGATAAGTTATTTTTACAAAACATATAGATATACTACAGCACCAGGTGATAAATGATTGTCATAGACAACCGGACATCTGGTGTTAATGCCGTTGTCTCAGTTTGTAGAATACTGATCAATTATTTTACAGGTAAATGACAAGGGAAGAAAAAAGGTACAATCTTCATAAAAATATAAAGAAATACATACTATATTGTAATTTATAGCGATTTTTGTAATTTAAAGATAGTTACTGTAATAGTACAAACTGAAAGAAATGGTGGGGTTTGTACATGGTATTTCCCCAAGAATAAATGCAAACTATTCAAATGCTATTTTTCCTCTGTTAAATAACATAATACAGGCTATTGGAAAAAATCCCCAAATAAATGTAAGAATTGTTTAGGAGATTATGGAGGGAAAGAATGTATTCTCTGATTACAGTATTGAGCTAATTACAGGAAAGTATTTTTTTATATACATAAAGGGCAAACATGACACAGAAAGATAAAGATAAATAGTTCTAGATCTAGCTAAGTGTTTTATATTAATGTTTAAAGTACAGTGGTGAGGCAAAACACGTATTTCTAAAACTATTTTAGTTTTTTTTTCACAGTTCCAGTTACTTACTAACACATACATAGCATAAATGATTGGTAAAACACAGTCCTTGTCTGCCAGTTTCTTGGATGTTCTTTTTATTCAGTCATTTGGCCAAATCACTGCTATATTGGGTTGATGCTTTAGACTTTGTGTCTGGTTGAATAATATGAGCTTTAGCTGATCAAGGCTATTGCAATTCAGGAATTATACTGAACTGACTCCTTCAGAAGACTAGTGCATGTTTTTTGGGCTTGAAAAATGAGACAAGTTGCAGATGTGTGTTTATATGCTTGGCAAATTAAGTCTTTGAAGACTATACAATTCACATAATTCAAAAACACTTAGAAATCTGCTGGTCGTATCATCATAGTTGTAGCTTTGAGAGAGTATCCCGAGCCCTTCCAGTAGTACCACTTGATCCCATTAAACTTGTTGTTGTTCTGTCGTAATGGATAATACATTCCATTGAGGTTAGAAGGACCACAGGCATCAAACCACCATCCTACAAGACAGAAGACAAACAGCAGCAGAAGTAATTTTCAAAATAGTATATAAGGTCACTTTGTTGTCCAGAAATGAGAAAGAAATCTATATCCAGTTTTTCATTCTTAAGATTTGGAAGTGTCGGTATAAAATACTTGCCTCAAACTCAGGAAAGAAGTGTATTTTATGTATCAACTACATATTCTTGAAGCTTATGTAATACATTGTACTTTAAAATTGAGAAGGGAAGGTGTTCAATCAAGCTTAACAACATCAAACTGTTGACAGTCTGAGGGCAGAACACAAACTATAATGATATCGAGTTGTCTTTGATTTTATCTACTCTTTGGTAAATTCCTGTTCTTCACAGGTTTGAACTCAATTCTTTCTAGAGGGTTAATTCAGTTCTCTGTGCAGATCAGTTCAAAACCTTCTGAGACTTGGTAAGAAGGAAAAGGAGAGAAAAGCAGCCCTCATTGTGTATCCTTATAGTCCTGACCTGTTAGTGGGTCATAAGGAAAATTTATTTTTATTAATATTATTTTTATACTTCTGTTATGATGGTGATAGTATATGTGTTCTGTTTTGCAGGGCAGTAATCCAATTATCCTTCTGGATAAACTGAAGCTGTCTTTTTTTTCTTGCAACTTGCACTAGAGGAAAACAAACCATTGCTTAAGAGATAACAGGAAGAGAAGTCAAATTTACAAAGAAGTTGTTTACATTTCAGAATGTGGAATTCTAGATTAAAAAATTATAGAATTTGGTTGAAGATAAAAATATCACTTAGAACTCAAATAACTAGTGAATAATCATTAGAAAAATGTAGATATCTCATATCTGTGATGTATCTTTACCACTTCATAATTATATCAAAATATATTTATAATTCATGTTGCCTTTTGTAGCACGTGCAGTACACAGCAGCTTTTGGGGATTTTCTCCTCTGGGTAGTTAGGGAAAGAGTTTATGCCTAAAGAATCAGGAGCCATTTCACTGACGAGCTGGATCTCTGAAACAGGTTTTTTTCAGGGAGTTGTGTTTTGATCTCTGACTGTTATCTCATTCCTTGGAGGAAGAATCTGCTGTCTTTCTGATTAGTTCCACAATTACAGACTTTCTTGTACCCCAGCTTTAGAGACTTTTTTCCCTCCACTTTTAACTTCTCTTGTTTTACTTTAACTAACCATTGTAAAATGATAAAATACTTCATTTGGAGTCACCATACTAGTAGTCAAAATTTACTAATTCAAAATTATCACTGTTTATCTCATAGACAATTTCACTGCCAATAAAAATAGGAAGGCTGAAAAGCATAAAAACATTCCTACCTCCTGTTAACATTTGTGAACATTTGCAAATACATTTGTCATTGTCTGCATCCTTTGTGCTAAAATCATTTCCTGGTTGGCTTATACTACTTATTTTGCCCGCTGTCCCAGTAAGTCCTTTAAGGTAAATTCTGTAGAAGTGAGAAATGGAAAAACAATTATTAAGTGGAAGTTGATGGTATCTGATCTGCAAAATAATGATGGAATAGTTTGCAATAAATATCCTGTTCAAATAGTTAAGTTCTCTTCTGGCCAATGTACTGTTGTAAGCTGTTTTTCAGCATAATGTTTTCATATGAACAGAAATGGTCAGCACAATATTCTCATGAACAGCCTCCACATTTATAGAGATGATGTTCATGTCATCATATTAGAAGCAAATTAGAGCAAGTATATAATAACTCCTGGAATTTTTCATGTAGATCATGTATTTCTTAATACTGAAAGTACACTGTTCTACTTTCATGCCACAGTAATACAAATATTTTTTAATTAAGTTTAAAAGTTTAAAACAAAAATTTTTGTTCCCATTTTGCTATTAACACAGCATAGCAGTTTAGCATGACAACTCTGCATATATCAGAAATAATAGCATTATCTGGAGTATTAATTACAAGCTAGTAACTGGTATTTTAGAAGTTTCTCAGTATTTCCCTTTCCACTTTCCTAATTATTCTTCCTTTTCACATCTCTCATATATTTATTAGCATGAAATCATCGCAGGTATTTAAGTTTTCTTCAATTCCCTAGCAAGGTAAGCTTTCAGTGAGGCTGCTGCTGTGTTGGGATGTGCTTACACAGGTGCTGATGCAGTCGCAGTGGGGAGAGACAGAGAGCACCGAACTGGAAGGACTTGAACCCTCTGCTCCCATAGTATCTCTTTGATGGTTGCATTACTGTATCAGATACCTCATGCTTCTCAGAGGCATTCTATTTAAGGAGGAGATCTGAATCTCTGAGGAGAATTAGCTTGTCCCTGGATCAATCTTTATCTTGCATGTAATTCTCTGCTTATGATAGAAGTTGTCTTTGGGAGTTTAACATGTTATTTTAACACATTTTATGTTCCTTATTTGGAAACATATTGAATTAATGAATTTTTACTCATTTAGGTTTCAAAAGATCAGCTCATTACAGATTTTCCCAAAAATGTCTTTCCAAAAAATTATTGTTTTTTTCTTAAGGTGAGTTCAAAATTATGTAAGCCAATTTATAACATAAATTATATTAAAATTTCCAAGTATAATGTATGCACCTAGGCTTGATCCTTAAATATAATTTGAAGTCTAATGTAAGCACAGTATTATTCATTTACTGTTATTAATAATTTTTTTAAAGTACAGCTTAATATAAAAGACGATGAGAGGCAGTGGATGGAAATCGAAATGAGAGGTTCTGACTAGATATCAGGAAAAACTTTTTCTGCCACAAGGACAGACAAGCAGGTTGTGCAGTCTCCACCTTTGGAGGTTATCAAGACATAACTGAAAAGCCCTGAGCAACCTGGTTTGACTTCTTAGCTTTGAGGTCAGAAAGTTTGATTCAAAGTCCATTCTGATCTCAGTTTTTCTATAAAGAAATTTCAGTTTTATGGTCCAACTCATAGTCTTTCCAGCATTTGGAATGTATTAATCTTTTTTTATGTAATGAATCACAGATTCATAGAATGGTTTGGGTTGGAAGGGACTTTAAAGATCACCTAGTTCCAGTCCCCCTGCCATGGGCAGAGACACTTTCACTAAACCATATTGCTCAAAGCCCTGTCCAGCCTGGCCTAGAACACTGCCCCCCAGATGGGGCATCGAAGATACTCTTAATTGAATACTTTCTTTGGTTTTTTTCTTTTTCATAATGTTAAATATATTCTTTAAACCACTCCATTTTATGATGCATTCCATGTTTGGTTGCATATTATAAGAAAGTTTCTTTTACCATCTTAGTTTTCAGTAATTATTTTTTAATATTGTAAATAGACAAGGGTAATGACCCAATTTGCAAAGGTTGCCTTTCTAAGTATTTTAAAGCATTACTTAAAAAAAAAAATCTCTGCTGTAGATTCTGACTGCTTCCAGATGAAAAAATATTTACTTTGGAGTTGAGACAACTGTATACTACCAAAGCATTAAGATCTAATGTTTTGTGGGGGGCAGATGCTGATGGTTTGGAATTGCTTTGCTTGCATATAAGACTTGAGTTGAAATAACAGCATCAGTTCTCTCAGGTGTCAGATTGACTTCATTTACAACAAATAGCTGCTAGAAATCTTGGAGAAATTCACCTAAATGTAGGTAATTTTTCTGTCCAGTCACCTAAAGCTCCATGATTCTGTATGATTATTAAAAAGAAACATTTCATGGACCATGTAGTAGGAAAGCATGTTATACTGTGGAGTCTCTAGTTTCTTCTCGAACAAATCAAACAGTATCTACTGCATTTACAGAGAGCCGGGAGAATGAACTATGAACTGCCCATATATTTCAGCTGTGGATGAAATTATTTCAAAATGTATAATACTGTGATACTACTAAAAGTGTATATTACTATGATAGTATTTATATAAAAAGTATTTCTTTAAAATGTATATTATTTCTTATTCTAACTAAGATGTAAGAAGAAATTATGAAGCTTTACATTTTACAGGATGATGGGAGCATAATTAATAGGTCCATTAAAATCTGGTGTTTAAATTAAGAAGTTTGTTGGTGTGTAAAATGCACATTTGCTTCATTTTCACAGGTAAGAGAGTTATTCTTTGAGAATCTTAGCCAGTGGGTTGTGGAAGCATAAGGCCAGATTACCTCAGTGTGCTCTTCATGACAATAGAACAGTTCCTACTAACCACTGACTTAAGTGGAAAATCCTTTATCTTAGTCATCCACCTTCCAGAAATGTATTTATTGCAGGGAATCAGGATTTGATAGCAACTGCAGAGAGGTTCCTATTGTCCTGATGACTCTGCACTCCCATCTACTATACTGGCACATGTATCCTATCTTATTCCCTACCATCTCTTTATCTTTGCATTTTTTTGTTACACTCACCCAGTGTGCACTAGTAAAATACACATTTTCTCCTTTGGAAAAAGAAATAATTTTTTTAGGCAATAGGTAAAAAAAATGGAGCAAACATTATTTTCTGAGTGAAAAATAGTCATGATTTGTACAAAATAAGTCCATGCATCTACCCAGTTTAGAATGATTACTATCAGAGCTTTGTTTTATTCAAGTCTGATTTTTCTGCTTACCTGTATTTTAGTTCTTCACTTGCTAGAGAGAAGTGGTCATACAATGAATACGCCTCATTTCCTTCCCAGTCTTTCAGGTGTATTTTAAGAACATAACGCTTCTGATTAGTCAATTGAGAAACAAACTCATTTCCCAGCCAGTATTCCCCAGCAGGATCACCAAATCCCTGTAATTCAAGGTGTAATATTTTAAACTATATGTTATATTAAAGCTTTGTTTTGTTGGGGTTTTTTGTTTGATTTTGAAATTATCACTTTATCTGTTTTTAAGTTTAATAGTTTTCAAGTCTGTCAACTGAGAATTTTACTGTGTCTATGAGGGTTATTGGTCTGTAATATTTCAAAAAGTTAATTTCGGCAAAGACAAGCTCAGGAATCTGAAACAGTGAATCAGTATTACTTCATGGATTTGGAGCAGTTTCGACTGTTGCCACTAGAAACACAAATATAAATAACTCAAAAAATGTAGACATATGATGGAACAGTTGATTAAAGAAAAGTAAGGTTTCTCTTTGAAAACAAACATCACACTTGCAAGTCTGCTTAGACAAACAACTTATTCGACTCTGACATTTTCTAAATGAGCATCTAAGGACATAGACAACTTTTTAAAGTTGTTTACATTCTGATGCTATTAATGTAACTTTAGTGTATTAGATTTCAGATAATAATAACTAATATTTAAGGCTTCAGAAAACATTGCTTACCATCTTGTACTCTTTCCATGTCCGGTGAAAGTCCACACTGCCATCTTCACGTCTCTGAATAACTGTCCAACCTCCTCCACCAGTTTCCATGTCACAGTATGCCTGTCAGAGTAAGTATGTAACAGCATTAGTCATAGCAAAACAAAACCAGAAAGGCAAGTTGTGCAAAATATATGTTAAAAATGCAGGTTTTTCATAGCTGTCATACAAATCAGTTGTGGTTGTCCACAAATAAATGTGATTCCTCTGTATATTCCTCTGTATCACACTTAACAGAATACAAATGACACTTTAAAAATAGCTGGTAGCTGCTGTTAAAGGAAGAAAAAAAAAAGGAATGTAATTTCTTATTCTATACTTCCCTCTTGCACTGGTATTTTTGTGAGTTTCCTTGTGATATATTTTTTCTAAAAGATGTTTTCACTTCTCCGTCTTTTTTGTGAGAGATCTGTTCAAGTTTCCCATGGCTTTTCAGAGTATACTGTCAAGTTCAGGCAGTGAGCAAACTGAAATATATTTTTATTTCCACAGTCATTGTTCAGTGCCTTTGCAAATGGTCTGACCCCAAGTTAAATGTAAGTGTAGAACAGTTATTATCTCAAACTTAAATCCTGAAGCCATGTTATACAGACTGCAATGGATATCTTATATTCTTGAACAAAAAGGTAACAACTATAAGATGTTTCCAAATATTCCTAAATCACCTTTGATTTTACCAAGTCATTGCTAAAACTTTGAAAGGACTGACATGTAATAGGCAGTTGACTGAACTCAGTTTTAGAATTCCCAATAAATGCATCTCTGGGACAGTAAAATTCAAGTTTAGAGGTGTCTTGTTCAGTCAATCTCCTTCTAGATTAAATCACTACAATGTCAGAGATGAAAGGTATTACTGAAGGTGCCAATGTATTGGGGAGATGCTGATGGAAAAAAAATCTTTTGACAATTAACAGG